AGGAATAGCAAGTTGTGCATAGTAGATTTGCAATTTCATGTGCAATCACCTTTTCTATTTTACTATGTCATGGAAATGCTTGTTTTTTTCCATAAATTAAAAGTAAAATTAAACAAATAAAGGTAAATTTAAAAAATAGTTTGTGGAGATCTAGAAAATGAAGCAGTGATTAAAAAGAGTCAGCTCAGTTCTACCAAAGATAGATTATATTAGATTAATCTTAGGTAACATGCTGCCTTTTAAGGATCTGGAAAGTTTTTTTTTTTTTGTGGAAAGAAACAGAAAGATGGGACTTAATCAAAAGCAGCCCCTCAGAAAATGCACTTAAGGCAAAGATAGTCAAAGAATCTTCTTTCCCAGTGTCTAATTTATGTATGGTTCTAATAAGGATTTTTGAGGTTGATATATAGGAAATCCTGATAGCTATAAGTTTTTGGTTACTGCTAGATAATTGTATATTGCCTATTTGTGATGTGCATGTCAAAAATGTGAAATTTCTGGAAAGAAATCAGCAACTTCACAGAAGGAGATCCTTTTTGAGGTAAGAGTTGGTCATTGACCAAAAATGCAGAGTAGAAATTGGCCCCTGCTGCTTAAAAGAAACAACACACGAAAAGAAACCGAGACTACTCTCTGCCACTTACAGAGAGTCAAATTCAGCTGAGTCCAGATGATTATATAGCTCATATAAAAGCTACCAAACTGAGACATGGAAGGAGTGCTTAAAATCCACATTATCAACTTGTCCCTGCCACCACCCACTCAAATATCTCCCTCTCCAAACTTAGTTGTTGCTCCTCGTTTCTCATCTGGTTGCACTACCTTGGGACTTCTCTGCCATGTCCAAGGTAGCTCACTATTGGGCTAAACAGATGTCATCAGCTTTGGTCACCTACCTCATCATACTCCCACTCTCTCTTATTGGAAGGAGAATGGGGCTGCTTTAGAAAGTAATGAATCTTCTGAAAAATGTAAATGGACTTTTGGAAGGGTGTTACCCTAATCTTCTTACAGAATATGTCTGGATATGCCACTCCATAGTTCAGGAGTGACTTATTGTCTTTAAGATAAAATACAGACTCTGCAGCTTGGGATTTAAAATCCTTCATATTTTGGCTGAAGGCTACTTTTCCATTACTCCCCCATATATACTTATTTTTCTAGCTAAACTGACCTACTTACTCTACTCTATGTAAAGCATTCCTTCTCCTTTTCCTTTCCTTTTCTCAGACTGCCCACCCTATCTGGAATGTCCCCTCTTTTTACTTCCACCTCTGAGAATCCCTAGCTTGTATTCTTTTTTCAAGGTTTAACTCCTGTATTTCTTTATTTGAGTATGTTTGTCCTCTTTCCCTCATATTGTTGTGCATATGCTTATCAGTTTACATGTGACCCCTGAAACATTTTAAGTTCACTGAGGTCAAGAACTTTAAAAATAATTTTGTCTTTGTATTCCAAATGCCCAGAATGGTCTCTTGCAACTAACACATTATTAATAAGTGGTTATTGTAGTGGATTGGTCTTGTTGGCAAGAGTTATGTTCAGGCATCTGTTGAATACTTGGAGTCCCTTCTAACTCTCTGGTTCTAAAAACAAAATCCTAAAATGATGTGAATAGGGATAGACTGTAGGAAATGGATGAAAAAAATATTGCTAGTGTAATAGAGAACTTAGATCTACAATGGTCCTTAGGTGTCATATAGTCCAACCCTTTCTAGATTTTAGAGTTCCGGAAACTGTAGCTCAGAGATGGTAAGTGAATTGTCACTCAGTAGTGGAGCTGGAATTCATGATAAGACTATATTTTCAGTCCAACTGTGGTTGTTTGATCTTGGCTTTATATAATAGATGAATTTTATTTAACATGCAGGTATTTTCCAATGCTTTATGTGCCCAACTGATTTTTACTTGCTTTCATTAACCACACCTCTATCCCCTTCAGCCTGTGAAAACTTCTAAATTTTTTTTGGTCACTTTAATGCTTTAGAACTCTGGGAAGCTGTATTAGTTAGGCATGGTAGGATCATACTTCATGGCCCTGACTTCCTTATGAGCATATGGTGTAGTGGAAAGAATGCTGGATTTCTAGTCAAGAGTCTTGGCTTCTAGTCATAGCTGTCCTACTGACTGTGGGATCTTGAGCAAGTCATTTGTCTGCTCATGAGTTTCTTCATCTGTAAAATGAAGTAGTTGGATAACCTCAAAATGTCCTTTTAGTTGTAATAGTCTATCAATGTAAAGGCTTTGAAATGTTTAAAGTTACACATTGACTAGTAGACAGTCTTTGATGAGAAAGGAGAGAAAAGGAAAGGAGTTACTATTTCTTATATCTTACCCTGCAGGCTACTCCAGGAGGAAGTCTATGCTTGCTTTGTCTGCCCAAAGGAAAAAGTAAACACAGAAAGGGTTATAAATAAGGAATTAAAGAACATAAAAATGAATTTTAGATATCATGCAGTCAGTATGGTCTCTTTGTTTTATAGAGTAGCAAACCAAGACTTGGAGAGCTTACATGATATTATTAAGGCTGCGCAGAACACAAGTGCTTGATCCAAGGAAAGCAAAGACAAAACCAATTTTATCAAAGGTGTCCACCACCAACTGTAACCAAGTAAAAGAAGACAGTACCATATTTGGGTGATTGTGACTAGGTGTGTGCTTTCTATTAAATCGTTTTTCTGCCCTACTTTGTTTTCAGAACTTTTTCAAGTGGAATCACCTAACTCTATCCATTGACTGAAGGCATTTTCTTGCTTGTCTCTAAGACCTGTGCAAACCTAAGCCACAGAATGTGGGGCTGGGAATCATCCCTCTCATTCTGAGAGAATCCCAAGGGGAAGTACAATGCAACATTACAACTAGAAGGGAATAAACATATATAGCAGCCAGTACGTGCTGGGTACTGTCCTAAGCACTTTTGTTTTGTTTTCTTTTTCTCAGGAGCTCCCATTTCTTTATTTATTTTAAAAATTTTTGTTATTTTGTTAATTTATTGAGTAAAACAAGCATTTCCATAATATAGTATAATAAAAAAGAGATGATTGCACATGATACCAAAAATCTATTATATACAACTTGCTATTTCTTTTAAATATATAGTAGTTATCACGTAAATTTCTTCTTTTCCCTTTTTTCTCCCTCCCAAGATGGCTACCATTTTTACACACACACACACACACACACACACACACACAGGTAAAATCATTCAATACATACTTCTATTTATCAGTTCTTTCTCTGGATGCAGATAGGATCTTCCTTCATATGTCCTTTGCAGTTAATTAACTAATTAATTAAGCACTTGTTATGAGTATTTGATACTTGTATACTCATTTGATATTATAACACCAATGCAAGGTAGGTATTCTTATTACCCTCACTTTACAATTGAGGAAAGTGAGGCAAAAGAAGTTAAGTTATTTGCCCAAGGTCATGCAGCTAGTTAAGTATTTGAGGCCAGGTTTGAACTCAGGTCCTTCTGATTCTAGGTCCAGTGCTCTATGCACTGTGTTACATATGCACAAAATGGATGTGGAAGTAAGTGGGAAAGATGAAGGATTATCTTTCCCTTCCACAGGGGGAGAAATGCACAAATCCTTTAGTTAATGCAACGTTCCATCACTTGCATTCAGAAGTAATTTTATGGAGGCCTTCAAACTGTGAATCTATTTACACACAATACTCATTAGAACAGAGCAGGGATCCATATCAGCACTTTATTGGATCTGGGATTCCATCCCTAATATTCGTAGGATCAAAAGCTCATAGGAGGGATCTGGAAAGGAGCTCAATGATCGTCTAGTCCAAATTCCTTATTTTATAGATGGAGGCTTCAGAAGGTTAAGTTGCATGTCCAAGGTCACACAGGTGGTAAGAGGCACATGTGCATATAAACAGAACCAGGTTCTCTGACTCCAGAGCCAGTATTTTATCATACCTGCCACCTTGCCTCCTTCCATTGATGCAAATGATGACCCTACCCCACTGAGCCTTCTCATCCTGAGCAATGATTTCCTACGTTTCCTGAAATTCTCCTGCTCTGGATGCCTTTTTCCTGTTCTTTTATTGTCTTACGGGAACTCATTAAGAACAACAACTATAACCACAATACCTTTCTTATTTTATATTTTTTTCATATAATAAACTAAAATAATACAATTAGCAGCCATCCCTTCAACCAAAGATTTGCTCTCAAAAGCAAAAGCCTTTTAATGAAAATGGTGGTGCTGCTTAGGCAAGTAAGTAACAGACAATGGTGGGTGCATTTAAGCACAGCTAAAAAAAATTACATGGTGGTTAATGTGAGTACTCTTCATTTGATCAGATATGGAAAATTAGAGTGCACACATTTAATATAAGTGAGGATGTGGATTAAAAATCAATGAGACTTTATTACCACAGGGGTAATTATTTCCCATGGTTTCAATCCCATTTCCCTTTTGGAGATGGAAGAAACTGCAGGATACCCCACAAATAGAGCATCCTTATTGCTGTAAACATAATTTAGAATTATGGTGCTAAAACTCCTTAAAGTATTACCTTTTTCATGGTGGGGGGGAAGGTTTCAGGTGGCGTTAAGATATCTACTTCCACAAACACTGAGTTTCTCATCCCAAAGCTTAAGTCTTGCCTGGCAAAAACATCAAGAGGAGAATTGATCCATTATTCACTGAATTTGATTTCTGTGGAGAAATGAACTTGGGCAACTCATTTCCTCTATCCATTTTCAGGCCCTATTCCCCACAAAGTTTCTAGAAAACTGGAACTATTTTTCTTACAAAGGCCTTTTTTGGATTGGATTATAAAGATAAGTGTTTTCATACTCCTCTTGGATTTTCCTATTGGATTAACAAAAGAAAAGGATTAACAGAGAAATCTTGAACTGAAAAATGGTTTGATGAGTTCCAAATTCACCAAACTAATGAGATAGCTTCAACATTATTATTTTTTTTCTTTCAAAAAGTCTAACTTTCTTTCATCCATCATTTCCACCACTTCAGGAAAGAACTTTGGATGCCTCTAGCTGTGGTGATAAAGCTCCTGAATGAGACCTGGTCAGATGATTAGAGATATGACTTCTGTCACCTAATTTGCCAAGAAATCAAAATATAAAACAAAGAACTTCCAGAATCTGGTGACTGAAATAATTTTTTTTGGTACAAAAATATACTTCTTAGCTCTTTCTTTTTTCTTGACATCTCCCTTTATCATTTATAGCCTGACAAATGATTTCTCCAATCTTTTGACAGCCTGAGGTTGTAGCATAAACAATACCCTTAAGGGTTACTGTATTTTCCACCATTCCAGTGTTCAACAGATTAAAATAGCTATATTTAAAGAACAAAATGATAGATTCATACACTTTCTGCACCAAAAGAACCCTTAAAAATCGTCTTATTATATGTGAAGTTAAGTAGTTTGGTCAAGGCCACACAACTAGTAAATAGAATAGCCTAGATTTCAGTATAGGTCTTTGGACTCGAGGTCCTATGTTTTTTCTTACTATGTCACATATTATAAATAGACTCATGTTAATTGGTAACTGTTATTAAAATGTTAAGATTTTTTAGGCACATGAAATTTCTTCACTGAATAATAATAGCTTATGCTGATGTATACTTCAAAGCAATTTATAAACATTTTCTCACAAAATCTGGTGAAACAGGTAGTACAAATATTATTATTATCATCCTCATTTTGTAATGAAGAAATTGGCTCAGTAATGTGAAAGGATTTGTTTTGTTTAAAGTCATACAGTGGAGTGGAGATTCTGGACTTGAACCCCAGTCTTCTGACTCAAAATCCAGCATTATTTCCATGGAGCACGGGTGAGGGTAGATGGAGAGGGAATACTTTCAAACAAATCTAAGAAAGGTAAAATTCCATTTTGTTGAAGCTTATTTTCTGACATAATATTCTTAAAGAGATATAGTTGATTATAGTAGAAAGGTGGTCAGGTCAATCATGTACACATACTTTTTTCCCTCCATGATTGTCTTCTAATCAGAAAACTGATACCATTTTAGTGCTATGAATTTGATCTTAGTTCTTTCATTATTTAAATAAAAATATTTTTTCTTGGATCCATCTTATTTAAGCCAGACTCTTAGATGAGAGCTAGAAGATGTGTTAGGGATCATTCAATTAAATCTCGTCACATAAGGAAACTGAAGTTCTGAAAAGGTTCCTAGTTTGATCACCCATTTGTAATAGAATTTGAAAAGATGGCAGCTGTGCATCAGAGTAAAGAAGGTTCACATGTCAGTAGCTATTTTTTCAGATGTTTCCAACTCTTTGTGACCCCATTTGAGGTTTTCTTGGCAAAAATGTCAGTGGTTTGCCATTTCCTTTTCTAGCTCATTTGACAGATGAGAAAACTGAGGCAAAGAGGTTTACGACTTGTCTATAGTCACATAGCTAATAAGAGTCTGAAGCCAAATTTGAACTGAAGAAGAGGAATCTTCCTGACTCCAGGTTTGGGACTCTATCAATTGTAATACCTAGCTGCCTGTAGCTGTAAGTACCTTATGAATTGTAAGAGAACTTCAGAATATCCCCACTCTTGCTGGTAATTGGTAGAGCAGACATAGTTAAGGTCATTTGCTGAATGCTTATGACTGAGTATAGGAGAAAAGAGTTGAGTATGCAAGGATGGAAAGTTAGTGTTTGTTTTGAGGGAGGATGGAGAAGCACAAGCAGTGAAAGGAAAAGGAAAGATAACATATATAACTCACTTTGAGGGAAAACTCATAGAAATTATTGTCCAGCTGAATCATTTGGTAAGTTGAATATCAATTTTAATACTCATTAAGTACCTACTGTGTATAGGCCCTGGTTATAACAAAATGAAATAGTCTCTTCTCTTAAGGAGCTAAAATTCTGCTGGATATAAAACCTGCAATGGATCCCTATTTTGAAGAAGTTTATTTCCATCAATGTGTGAAGAATCAAAGGTTAGATAAAGCTTAATTGAAAGGCAAGCACATAATACATTGTTTTATGTCATACTTTGTTTTACAGAATCAATAAAAAACATTGACTGAACTTCTGGTAGAAGGAGGATGATAGGAACCCAGATTCCAATATAAGATAAAATGAAAAGTCTTTGGCAGGCACACAGATCTTGCCCAGCAAATCTACTGTAAAAATACCAGGGTGCTATAGAGATTTACTTTTATTTTTTTTTAAAGGCTGTGTAACAAAATGTACAGGCAGCTTTACGATTCAAATCTTGCAACCCCTGCCTTTTACCATTGAGAAGGGTGTTACAGCCATTCAAGGCCAACATTGTATGAGATCATGAAAATGGATATCAAAGCACTTCTTTCACTCAGTTGTTCTTTTTCAAACAAGGATACCAAAGTAGACCTGATACTAACCTTCCTAGACTCATCTGTCCTTATTCATCCTAATGAAAGCAGCAAACCAAGGACAGTACGGTTCCCTTAATTAAAGGGAGGAAGAAATCTGATAGGTGTTATCTTGATTTTTTTTTCAGAAGTAGAAATAAATGTGTAGGAGGCTAATATAATGGCTTTTCCACTCCCCCAAGCCTGAGTGAGTGAGTGTGTGTGTGTGTGTGTGTGTGTGTGTGTGTGCATGTGTGTATGTGTGTATGTGTGTAGGAGTGTGCATGAGGGTGTGGAGGGGTTGGGAGGGAAGGTATGCACTAAAAAACATTACCTAAGTGAGTTAGAGTGGGCTTAACAAATATTTTTGAGATGAGCTAATTTACTCTTCCTGTATGCAAGGGATTAATGACCCTAGTTCAGTCTAATGTGGGTGCAGTCAACTATAGAAGGTGGTTCAAACAGTTTTGCTAATATCCCCTCTTCAATGACTGTTTCTCACCTCCCACTGCTCCATGCATACCAGTACCTGACCTGTTGAAGCAAAGACCAAATATGGGGTTGGTGCATAAATATATGCCAGGAATAATTCAGCAAATGTGTATTCATTTGTGCTAGAAGCCAGTCTTTTCATGCTCTATTTTCAGTGTCATGGCTAACTGGCTTAAGTGAGCCATATTAGGATAATGAATAAGAAAAGGAAAGAAGGGGAAAAATACTTTTACATAGCAAAGCCTCAGTGCCAATGACAGAGATTTCAAGATATTAAGACATATCTGAGGATACAGAATGCACAACCAAAGTAGTAAAAAATGAGCAGGTATATTAAGATGACAAGAATCAATATATTTTATGCATGACATAGGTAGGGAAATGGGATTAAGAAGCAAGTTTATAATTTTAAGGCTAAAGAAAAAATAGTAAACAATCCCCATTCTTACCCCAAACTCCTCCTGGATACTCAGACCAAAAGGTCTAGTCCCTGAAGGACAAGAATTGTCATGTTAGTCTAAATAGCCTTTATAGAGCTTCAAGCTGGAAGGGTCCTAAGAATGTCACCTAGTCCAACATATATTTAAACAGGGATCCCTTTTTACAACATCTTTGACTAGTGTTCTTCTAGTCTCTTCCTGAAGTCCTTCAGTAATGAGTTAAGAACCCCAGATGGAAAGCTAAAAATAAAATAATTTCATAAAGGACGCTTTTTATTCCATTTTTTTAAAAAAAATAATTATCCTATGATTCTTTCAGAGTTGTATCAAGTGAAGTAGCTAACCAGCACTTCATCAGAGCATCTGACAAAGAGCAATGTGAGAACTCTTAACTGTAATTTGAGAAATTAATACTAGATTCTTTGGCACTGGAAATAAATAGATAGTGGATTATTTTTGTTATCTTGTGTCAGCATGTCTTGCAAGGATCCAGATAGTAGGTGTGTTAGCCATGTAACCATTAATTGTTTGAAATGTGAACATCTATGCTTGTCTATCACATGTCCCTTCCCTGCTATCAATCACACTGGGGAATACACACAGCAATGGTTTATCTATGAATAGACTTTGATAAAACCAGCATGAGGGCTTTATTCAGGTATAACATCTTGTATTTACCTTCCTTTATCCCCTTTCTACCAATAACATCATAGCATTCGGAGCTACCCTTGAGGACCCTGCTTCCTCCACTGTTGGAGAAATCCTGAGATAATGCATTCCAAAGCTATTCTAATCGTTAGGAAGTTTGTCATCCTTTTGAGTCAAAATTTGCTTTCTGTAGCTGTATGATTTTAAGCCCTCTCACCACTGCCTTGGAGGCAATGAAATTTATACATTAATGCTAAACATTTTGAAAATGAATAATAATATTATACTTCAAACATTTTTTTCCAATATGAATACTTCTTCAAAAGGTATAGGTCCTAACTTATTCTTATCTTCTTCACCTATATGATTCTTGTCTATGGTCTCTCAAAAATTTTTCATAAGGCCTATACCTGATGCATTGGAGTTCTTCCTTTTAGTCTTTTTGCATTCAGTGTTCCAGTGAAGCACTCAGACTGTCCCTCTGTTATCCCTCACTTTCCTTACATGACCTGCCTACCTCCCTTTATGACTGTGTACTTTCTGGATTTTTATAAAAAAAAATGCATTGGAGTTGGTAGATAAATAACACTCTCCTATAAAAATGAAGATTATTTTTATATGGTTCTAAGTGTTTATATTGTTTCCATACCCTCCAGCTGCTGAATGTATTGCCCCAGATGTTCTTCCTCTCTCACAGACAGTCAAAGGGATATTGGGTCTGAACTTCAGATAGAAAGAGGTCATGTTGAAGGTCTATCCTCATAGTGGGTAGAGCACCAGGCCTGGAGTCAGGAACATATGAATCTAAATTGGTCCTCAGACACTTAGTAACTATGTGACCCTGGACAAGTCACCTAATCTCTCTTTGCCTCAGTTTCCTTATCTGTAAAGTGGGGATAATAGTAGCATATAACTTTGAGGGTTGTTATTTGGATCAATGGAGGTAATATTTGTAAAGTACTTTGCAAATCATAAAGCCTTACATAAAAGCTAGCTATTATTATTATTATGTTACAACAAAAATCAGGCTTGGAAAGCTCATGCACTGATAGGACTCATAGACTAGTAAAATTAAAAGGTACATTAAGGGTCATTTAATAACTTTTCTATTTCCATTTTTACAAATGAGGATGCTGAGACCCAAAGAAGTCAAATCAGTTGCACAGGGTCACACAGAAGTGGCAGTGAGGACTAGAACTCCGGTGATCTGAGCGTAAGCACCGAGTTTTGCTTCTATATGACTCTGTAATAGCCGTATATTTTGCAAAGAGACACACAGATGAAGAGTGAATGCATATAGTTAAAAGGAGGTAAAGCCATTCTCAAGCAAATAAAAATACACTAGGTTCAAAATAGGAAAGGAAAAGAGAATGAAGACCAAAACATCATCAGATCGTGTTCTCAAATCATATGCTGCTTCAAAAGACATTAAAAAGTGTCCCTATAGGATCTTGTATTCTCAAGATACTAAAAATTGATTACTCTTTGTATTCTGGATCATTCCATGTGTGGCAAACATTTTGCACCCTTTATTTTGTGCCATTGATTTGATCCTTTGTTTTGTCCCTATCACACTTGCACATGGACATTTGCATCTTGATTTTGTCAAATTCCAGCAAGCCTCCTAAATTATAGCATCAGCCGGATCTCAGTTGCTCTTAACATTGCCTACTTCCTTGAACAAGGAGCTCTGAATAGTAGTAATTTTCCAGCTCCCTGTGACTGCTTCACAAACAGCATACTTGGCAATGCTCAGTGGAAGCTAGCAGCCATAAGGAAACGTCTGGGGAAAAAAAAAAGAAAAGAAAAAACAAAACAAAAAACACAAAAGGACCTTCCCCTCTATCCCTTCCATGATATTACTAGGTTAGAACAATAATAAACTGATAACTAAACTGCTGTGCTTGGGCTCCTGACTCATTCATTCACCTCCATTCAC